CTGTTCGTTCTTCGAATAAATCTAATCCACCAAATGAAATTTTACATGTTACTTCTCATCTCTTTGATCATTAAATGCATTGCTTTCCATACATTTCTTACTCGGAGGAAGACTATCATTTTAACAGTTTGGGAACAGGGTTGCTTAATAAGAAGCTCTTGAAATATTTAATGAAGTAAAGATCTGCTCTAGAATTTAAAAGAGCCAAGCAGCCAGACTCCATATTGTCAAAAGCAGTCTCATAATTCCATTTTATTCATTTTTGCTAAAGATAGAGTTGGCTGAGTCATTCTCATCACTCCTCAATTCATTTTTATGGTTTATGCTCCTGGCAAACTAGACAGAGGGATTGGTAAGAAAAACAGTGATAATGTCAAAGTGTTAGTTAGCTCCAATATTTCCAGAGTTGGTGTTAACATACCACTGTTGGATTTTTGAAATATGATATCCAAAACCAATTAAAAAGCTAATTTTGATAGCAAGACTAGGTAATTCTTGTTGCACAAACATATGTTTAATATTTGGGTCAAGTAAGCATTTATAAAGATATATTAAAAAGGTACCACATTTTTATTAATAAAGTATAAAAACAAAGCCTCTAAGAGTGACTAATAAAAGAAAGCATTTGGAAACATCCTAGAATCACAGCCACACTTCTTCAAGACTGTTTCACAAACACACCATTACCTGTTTAAGATTTATCACCTTGGTGGGCAAGTTACTTTATCTCTTTGTACCTTGGTTTCTTCTTCTGTAAACTGGGGATAAAATAATACTTGCCTAACAGAGTTGAGAAAATCTAAAGCTCTTAGCACAGTGTCTGGCTCTCAATAAATGTTGGCTACTATTTTAATTGTAATAATGATTATTATTGCCATAGTAAAAATCTCACTATTCTGATTAGTTGAGGAAAGATCCAGCTAAAATCATAAAAAATCTGAATTTATACTTAAAAGTGAAAGAAGTTAAAAGCAGTTAACAAAATGCTGCCTAGTAGAACTCTATGTGGAGATAATACTCCTATTTCCTGAACCAAAACAGAAAACATGGACTTTAACATGTGATCTGACAATGCAACAGAATATTCACAACCAGAAATATCCTGGAAAATCTAAATATCTAAGGTACATGTTTTCATCATAAGTCGCACAGAGTTTATAATTAGAGGACTGATTATTTGTATTTAAAGATTTTTCTCTTAAGTATTTTAGATATTTTATCAAAATATTACTTTTACTATCAATTTGTATCTTCTATTATGTTTTCTAAATTATAGTAAATATTAGCCCAACTCCATTCATTTTTAATAGAACATAAATTACTGGAAAATGAATTAATGAGTAGATCATTATCCAATCATCCAGGATAAAATGGGCCCAATCCTGTACTAAGTAAAGTGGAATATTCAAAAAAATTAGTTTGTAACAGAGAAATAAGGCATACTTTGTTTGCCAATGGCAACACCCATAAAGTTCTAGTTAAGAATGGAGAAGTCCTGGTTTAAAAGACAGGCTAAAATTAATTTTCCCTTTCTTCCAGCAACTTAAAGAACAGATTAATCTTCAAAAGACACAGAAATGTACACAAAACTAAGTTATATTAAACAGTAAGAGACCAGAGCAAATGATAACTAGTATTTATTGAGTATTATACTTTATGTTACCTTATATTTTAATCCTTTAAAACTCTTACGAGGGAGTTCATATTATTATAGCCATTTTATACTTGAAGGAATCTGAGGTTTAAAGTGGTTAAGTAATCTGTGCAAGGTAGCACAGCTGGTTAATTGGTGGAACTATTAACCAAATCCAGGCAGTCTGAATCCAGAGCCTTTATGCCTAACCATTAACCAGCACATGCATAATATCTACCCATATACAAAAACATACAAAGCTAGAGGTTGGTGAAAAGTCAGTGGAAAAGTCAGAGTTTAAATATCTAGAGGAACAAAAAGAGCCAAGACAAGACTTCCTTTTTATACCAGGATTGATGGATTGAAAACACTTGGGAAGATTGCTTGCATTTTCTACGTATATGGGTTTACCCACAATATTTATGTTTGGTCAATTTCCTTTCTATAAGATGAAATAACCACAGTACTTATCTGAGAGCCTTGTCGTAAGGGTTAAATGAATTAAAAATATATACAGCAGAGAACTGTGCATGAAACCTAGTAAAAAAACGATGTTAGCTTTGATTATTGTGATTTTTCTTTGAAATTGTATTACGGTTTATATTTTACAATACAATTTAAATAGTAACTCTCAAACTTGAGCATTCATCAGAGTTGTCTGAAAGGCTTGTGAAAAATAGATCGCTTTGCCCCATTCCCAGAACTTCTGATTTAGCAGGTCTGGAGTGGGGGCTGAGAATTTGCATTTCTCACAAGTTCTCAATTGGTGCTGATGATGCTGGTCCTTAGATCACATTTTGAGAACTGGTCTAAAGAGTTGCTTAATGTATCTGATTGAGACACAGACTCTCTCAGTCTCTCTCTCTCTCTCTCTCTCTCT